GAGAGAGAGAGAGAGAGAGAGAGAGAGAGAGAGACGGACAAAAACGAAATCGCACCTATTTACATCAAATACACACCTCTAGTAGGAAGTGTCGCGCATCAAGTGCTCGCAGCGCCCCTGTCGTTGCTCCCTCGTCTTCCGTAATATAGCGATAAATTAACTGGTGATACGAAACTGCGTTCGTCCCCCTTTGATTTTCTTCCTTAATCTTAGAAAGTGCATCCGCACCAGCTACAAACGAATGTGTCAAAAAACGAAATGCCAGGCAATATGTTTCTAGTGGGGCGCTCGCCGTAAAAGATGGTGTTTCGGCGGGCGACGAGCCTCGTTTTCCAAGACATAATCCTCTTTCAATCAACGATTTTCAGGGCTACAGTTTACATTAACGCATCTTCACAAACAGACACATGACTTGTAGACTGACAATCCATACAAACGGCGGCACAAACATAATCGCAAACGATGTAAAACGCTTCTACTATTCGTACAATATCACTTTAGCACACCGATTATCACCGACACCTCTTCCTCCTCTACGCTTATACCCGAGAATAAATAGCCGACCGCCGTCTGCAAGCGCACCTCATGTCAATCGAATTGACGACGCCTCGATTCATCTGCATATGATAGGTTAACTTGCAAAATACGTACAACTGGTTTTTGACGATTTCATTTTCCAGCTTCGCATTTAATGAAACCGCACGTACACTAAACAACTTTACAACCTCGCAAATCTTCATACGAAAATGATACTCAATGTCCACGGCACAATACGATACTACACGGCACACGGCACAGTAACATGGCGGCCTAAGAGAAACGAGCACATCGATGACAATCAGCTTCATAGAGATACTTGTCAGAAATCCAAAGAGAAATAACCTTTGCTATTTGTCGCACAATTCTCTTGCACGATTTTCCCCTTATTTGAATTTCCACCGTTCGAAGAAAGAATGTCACGAAACACCACTTTCGTGCTCGCCATTACCCTCCTAACCGTCCTTCTCTATATCTCGCCTCTTCCTTCTTCTGTAATTTCTTCCCTTCCTCTTCTCACCGCCATGCACAGTCAATCCTCGCTGCCCCACCATTCATTACCACTCACTCTCTTCTACCTCCCTTCCATATGGCGCAAACTGAGTCCCAGACTTCTTATTTTCCTAAAGTGCAGGTACGTGACATCTATACGTTAAGTAACTGATGTAACGTCATGTACCGATCGTCGATCATGACGATGCCTTGAAAACCCAACACACGTCGATACATTATCGACGCTACGATAACCTTTCCCGAAGGAATTTAAACGTTACGATAACAAAGCGATATCGAATTAAAACTGAAAGGACAGGAAGATGCTTGTTGTAAAAGGAATAGTCAATTCTTCTTACTCTAATTTCTTCTCATAATACATTTGAAAAGCGAACAATTTCTCAGCTCGCAACTCGTATTGCGATATAATTACGAAAAAACATTTAAATCGTCGCATATTCTTATTTCCATCTGCAGCGATTCCATAGGCATACGTAACCAAGAACATGAAAGATGAGATAAATAATGAACATTAGTATCAGGTCCATCCAAATGTTAACCTCGTCAAAGTCGTAACGACGCAAAACTTCGGCTCCATCGGTGATACAAGGTAATTCAGGATCGGCCGTCTCACAAGCTGAAATCGTACATGTCGCATGCTCTTATTTTCTTCCACACTCCGAGGTAGACGCATATTTAACCACTACCTGAATGTAGCTCGATAGTTGTAGACTTACATATATTATAGACACCGTTCCATTGAAGAATCGTAAGCACTTCGCTAGCATGCAGTAACCAGGAAATATATTTCACCCATCGAATGTATAGTGGTAATGATCTAAAATGTACAGGATGATCATAAAAAAGAATCCATAATTTAAAAAGACTATAGTACTCACTGAGAGGAGTAAAGAATGTCTAGTCAACAAAGTTCCTAAAATCAATCCTTTCGATGTAAAATCAGCTTACGATATCGAACGCTAATGAAAAATAAAAGCTGGTCTCTTCGCATCGCATTGAATGACGATGGAACAAAATAGCGTTATCGCGCATTCGGCCAAGCATAGTAAATAAATAATAACTTGTGACCGTATTAATTCTCGGTTGTAAACTCAGGATTATTACTATTATCAACAAAGATTACTTTATTAGACGCAGCCGTAGTATAAATATTCGTACCTGAATTTTCTTCTACCATCCTCAAAACATGTTCTTTTGTATCAGCGGTAGAAACAGATCGCGGCCGCCTAGAATCAATACGACTTGACGTAAACGTCACGTAAACGTTGGTTCAGTTTTTTTAAATAATTTAAGAGACAGGCTACAGACGTGTTTCCATTGGCAAGGCCATATACAAAATGTATATTAGCCATTCCCCAGTTAGAATAATGAACGGATATTGTTAACCACACAAAAATACCATATACTATACTGGATGAAGATTTATACTACGGTTGCGTCTAATAATGTAATCTTTGTTGATAATAGTAATAATCCTGAGTTTACAACTGTGAATTAATACCGTTTCAAGTTACTATTTATATACTATACTTGACCAAATGCGCGATAACGCCATTTTGCTCCATCGTCATTCAATGTGATGCGAGGAGACCAATTTACGATATCGAACGTTAAGGTCCGATACACACTAGCGGTCCGCTTTCGGTCCGGTAAAATATTCTTCAGTACTTTAGAACGTACCCATTTACAGTACGAGTAACGCTCCGATCTCGTTCCAGAAACTATTTTTGGAAAGAATATTTTACCATCGATTATTCCATTCCAATTCCGATTTTGATGAAACTGTAATATGTTGTGGTTTATTTTTTCTTTTTTCATTCGCATTTTTAGCCAAACATAGATGTATAAACTAAATTATATTTCGAGAGCAAAGCGGGTTTGGGACCGGGAACGGACCGCTAATGTGTATCGGGCCCAATAAAAAATAAAAGTTGATTTTACATCGAAAGGGTTGATTTTAGGGCTTATCTTGACTAGACACTTTTTCCTGCTCTCAGTGAGTACTATAATCCCTTTAAGTTATGGATCTTTTTCTACGACTACCCTGTATATATACAGGGTGTTATATTTGAACGAGAGCGGTGGAATATTTCATGAGGAATAGAAACTATGAAAATAATGTTCGTAAAAAAGTTGTTTGGTATAAAGGGGCACATTATGTGGTTTAAATAATTCTTCTGTAGGTGCAAAAGTGGAGGAGATATCAAAGTTAAGTTAATTTTTTTAAATGGAACCCTGTATTTTTGTATTCATAACATGGTAGCGTTTGTTGAGATGAATTCCACAAAAGATCGTTAAGTAGTGAAGAATCGGGGAGTCAAGTCAACATGTGTCGTACGCTTTCGGCCAGCTAAACCCTACTTGACTGTGCTACTAATACAAAGGGTCTAGCCGAATAAGCATGGTAAAAGTGCCCCTAAATCAAATGAAACGTGTGATACGTCAATTGAAAGATCTTCCCAAGAAAACCATTTCGACAATGTTTTAGCCCTCTTATTAGGGTAGTTATCAACCTAAACATCATTTTCATTTCATACTTGATTTCTTTTGTACTATCTGATAAAAAATTATGAAAAAAATCTGAAATACTATGGCCAGAGTGTTACATATCTGAGAATTTTTTCAGATTTTTTGAATGAAAAACCTGTATTTAAAAAATTAAATAACATTAAAAATGCCAATTTTTTATTGAAGTTATCAAATGACAACATTTATATTTTTATAGTAGAAGCTGCCTGCCATGTTCATTAACTCATAATTTTTTCAGATTTTTCGGAAGCATGCGTCACAATTAAAAAAATTAAAATCCACTATTTTTTACCGTTCCGTTCATGCAAGAGTGACCTCTAGTGACAGCAAAACAATATGTATCGACATGTCTCGTATACGACTAAATGGCTCTATTTATACCTCCAGAAGTATTTCAGTAATCACTCTTGCTCAATGACGCTTTTTTAATTACAACCTGATTTATAAATGTCAGTTCCTTTGCTCGTTGATTATTTATGAAGAAGGTGTCATTGCTCAATAAACTCTCCATCCTGCAAAAGGGCTTATTTTGTAGGTAGAATTTCAAGCAGTGTAACCATATCTTTTTTACATTTAAACACCTCTTGCTGTCACTAGAGGTCACTCTTACGTGTGCACGAAACGGTAAAAAATAGTGGTTTTTAATTTTTTGTAACTATGACACATGCTTCCGAAAAATCTGAAAAAATTATGAGTCAATGAACATGGCAGGCAGCTTCTACTATAAAAATATAAATGTTGTCACATCAATAACTTCAATAAAAAATTGGCATTTTAAATGTTGTTTAATTTTTTAAAAATAGGTTTTTCAGTCATAAAATCTGGAAACATTCTCAGATATGTAACACTCTGGCCATAGTATCTCAAATATTTTCATAATTTTTTATTGGATAGAACGAAAGAAATCAAGTATGAAATGAAAATGATGGTTAGGTTGATAACTACCCTAAGAAGAGGGTTAAAACTTTGTCGTAATGGTTTTCCTGGGAAGCTCTTTCAATTGACGCATCACATGTTACATTTGGTTTAGCGGCACTTTTACCATACTTATTCGGCTAGACCCTTTTCCACAATTTTACTACTTTCCATAAAACAAAATGACTTAATGTGACACTTCGTTGAATTCGTCTTAACAAACGATATAATATTAAGAATAGAAAAATATGAGGAAGGGGGGTGTAGTTCGACATGAAATTTTGCGGGAAGCGGAAGGAAGGTGGGTGGACCCCAAAAATAAAATATTAGCTACAGCCAATTATTAGTTTCCGAAATATTAACAAAAAACTTTCAGTACTATACATTGAAACTGCGTATGCAGACGTGACTAATCCTGTATAATGCTGCCTATACAGATGTTACTAACACAACCGTCTTCAATTTGAGGTCGTTACCATCGAGTAGCCGATGACACAATAGCGGTAGCGGCCTTAGTATCTATAGGGTGTTCTACATAAAATTTCGGCGAAGCGATGACTGTTCTGATATTGCCGATCGCCTAAAAAATATCTAGGCCCTAGATATTCGGCGGTGTTAGACGTTGTGCTCCAGTTCGACTGATCGACAAGATGATTACATATAGTCGGGGCCACGATATAGCGAGGTCGTAAAATCGGTTAGGCGTCAAAGTAAACATGTTTTAGCTGCCGGGACCCCGAAATTGACAGAAATACGAGCAGATAAGTACTTGAAACCATGGTCAGGACCGTACAAAGAATTCTTGTATCCAGCGAAAGTCAAACTGATTCTAATATATTTACTGAAAACTGCATGCAGCTAGGACAAATTAGGGTTTCTCCCTCTGGGGGAAGCCGCTTTTGGAAGTACGGTTACAAGTAAAGGTCTTATTGAGGTCTTTAACATCTTCATTTACCTGCTCGTGTTATATACAGATAGAAAATGCAAAAGGATTGTGTAGCTTTAATATTAACATATTTTCCATTTGTAAATGAAATACCATTTTCTACTTGAAGTACCAAATCATATGCTACCATTCGTTTATTGTTGGAACCCTCAAACAGACTGCAACACACGGCCTTGAGTGCCGCAACATCAATCGATGCCGATTCTTGAGAGTTTAATTTACGACCTCGCTATATCGTGGCCCCAACTATACATGATTAGGTTAGATTAGATTAAAATCCATGCTTTCAGTGGCTGCTTCGTTCAATGAGCCTTATTTTAATGAAATTCGTCACCCTATAGATACCGGGACCATACATGACCCTTGACGGTGACGACCGCAAAAGCGAAAATGGTTGTGTTAGTAACATCTGTATAGGCAGCATTCAATGTGTTAGTCACGTCTGTATACACAGTTTCAATGCATAGTACTGAAAGTTTTTTGTTTATACCTTGGAAACTAATGACTGACTGCAGCTAATATTTTATATTTAGAGTCCACCCACCCTTCTTTCCCTTCCCACTAAATTTCATGTCGATTGGCGACTGGGGCCTTTCAAAAAAATTAACTTGGCTTTGATATCTTCCCCACTACTACACCTATAGACAAATTATTTAGACCATCTAATGTCCTTCTACATATATGTATATCGAACAACTTTTGTAACAACATTTTGTTCACAACTTCAATCCCTTGTGAGATATTTCACCGTTCACGTTTAAATGTAACACCCTGTATACAATACATATATTTTTATAATAATCTTATTTTAGACCATCTAAAATACCAACACATAAGTATTATGTATATATAGTCGGGGCTATGAATAGCGAGGTCGTAAAATCGGTCAGGCGTCAAAGTAAACATATTTTAGCTGCCGGGCCCCGAAAATTGACAGAAATACGAGCAGATAAGTACTTGAAACCATGGTCAGGATCGTACGAAGAATTCTTGTATCCAGCGAAAGTCAATTCTAGTATATTTACTGAAAACTGCGTGCAGCTAAGTCAAAGTAGGGTCTTTCCCTCTGGGGAAAGCCGCTTTTGGAAATACGGTTACAGGTAAAGGTCTTATTGAGATCTTTAACATTTTAATTTACCTGCTCGTGTTATATACAGGTAGAAAATGCAAAAAGGTTGTGTAGCTGCAGACACAGAAAGAAATTACAAATATTTCAGCTAGTTATTAATATTAACATATTTTCCATCTGTAATCATATGCTACCATTCATATATTGTTGAAACCCTCAAACAGACTGCAACGCACGGCCAAGAGTGCCGCAACATCAATCGGTGCCGATTCTTGAGAGTTTAAGTTACGACCTCCCTATATCGTGGCCCCAACTACAGTAATGTTTCTCTGATTGACTATCAGCACGGAACCTAAACAGGACAATTTAGGAATCGGGGGCACTGTTTTCGAGCCTCGTGCCCGCCTTTGTAGTTTGACGAACGAAGCCAAGGACAGCGAATAAAAGAGAAGGATGAAACGAGAGCCGAGGCAACTAATCGATTTAAACACCACCTTTTTTAATTTTACGTTTTTTTATTCCGAAATTTTTCTTAACATATTGATGAGATTTTTCTGAGGAAAATGAGATCAAACACGATATAATTTGAACAACATTTACTCATTAACACGTTGACTGTCACGCCAGATTTACAGGTTACTCTCAGGCAGCCACAAGAAAATTTTCATTATTTTACGCATAAGATTATATTATGCTTATTATCCTTTACAATTATTTTTCTTTTAAATTTAAAATAATGTCTAGTTAGCTATGACGTTCAAAATTTTTAGTTGACGATATTTATTTTATTTTAATTATTCTAAACATTTGAGGCACTCCGGTCACTGATGACCACCATGGCCCCATCGAGGAAACAATCTCCAGTCGCAGGTGACCAACGTGGCAGTCAATGTGTTAATACTTATTGAGTAATTAATTTAATTTTATAATATATCGCTTTGGATGAATTGCTAAACAAATACGTTAAATATCTGTACACATTATCCGTCGAATGTGGAGGGAGAGACACCGTTTGGTGGCCAATTATAGAATCGTGTGAACAGATATTTAATGTATTTTTTTAGCAATTCATCCATAGCGATATATGTATTATGAAATTAATCACTCAATAAGTATTAATAAGTAAATGTTGTTCAAATTATGTCGTGTTTTATGCCATTTTCATCAGAAAAGTCTCATCAATATGTTAAGAAAAATTTCCGGATAAAAAAACGTAAAATTAAAAAAGTTGATATTTAAATCGCATGGTTGCCTCGACCACGTTTCATGCTTATCTTTTATTCGCTGTCCTTGTCTACGTTCGGCAAACTACAAAGGCGGGCGCGAGGCTCGAAAACGTAGTCCCTGACTCTACGAGTGTCAGGTTTAGCTTCCTTGCGGTCTGACACTTGTGGAGAATGTACTGTATGTGGTCAATTAAAGAATCCATACTAGTGATCAATAAGAGAGGCATTACTGCATACCTTTCTTGTCCTATACAATAAAGCTTCTCGCATTGTTCCTCAGCTCGGAATCGAATAGGGACAGTTTTAGTAAAGGGATGTGTACTGTTTTTCGAGCCTCGTAGCATGCCTTTGTAGTTCGCTGAACGAAGACGAGGACAACAAATAAAAGATAAGGATGAAACTAGAGTCGTGGCAACCGAGCGATTTAGATATCAGCGTTTCTATTTTTAACTTTTTCTGTATGAAAAAGTTGATAACATATTGATAAGATTGTTCTGATTAAAATGAGACCAAACACGATATAATTTGAACAACATTTACTTATTAATACTTATTGAGTAACTCATTTGATTTCATTATCGCTTTGAATAAATTACAAAAACGGATTACTAGAAAAATACATAAAATATCTGTACACATTGTTCGTTGAATGTAAGCTGTGCCTTCATATTGTTCGACGAATGCATAATCTGTGCTCGGACAATGTCAAGGCACGGCGTATGTTGTACGAACAATGTAAAAAGGGGGACTCTATTTGAGGACAATGTGGAGGACAGGACTGCGTTTTACAGACAATGTGGAGAGAGGGATTACATTTGAAGGACAATGTGGAGGAAGGGACTACATTTTACGGACAATGTGAAGGCCAATATGGTCGAAATTATATCATGTTTGATTTCATTTTTATCAGAAAAATCTCACCAATATATTAACAAAATTTTCTGCTAGAAAAAAGTAAAATTAAAACTGTTAGACTGTAAAGAACCGTGTCACGCATCCTAGGCGTAGGAACTGCGAGTGGATAATGTAAGGGTAGCCACCAGTAGGAACAATGTGAGAAGATTTGCTGTACTTACTTTTATCACTCGAATGACGGCTAACATACACACACACGCGCACGAAAACAAAATCATAAAGAAAACAAAAAGAAAGATAAAAAAAGTATTTATCAAAGGTTACCCTAATTTGAGAAAAGGACCCATAGTAATCATGAGAACATAATCGAAGGGTACCAAGTACGCCATCGCTAACGGTACGCTTCCAAATGCCGTCGAAAAGAAACAACCTGAAATATGATCACATTAATCCTCCAAGAATTTCTGGTTTCATTGAATTTCATTGAAACTGTAGAATTCAATTTACCGCACGCAGTCGACACGTTTATGGTAAGCAGAATGACAAGTAACGATGATCCAAAAGTTTCGATATTAACTCGCAATCCAGCTAGCCAGTATATAATCGATGTAAATAGTAGGGGCTCTACTATCAAACCAGGTATCTGTAATTCGTTTTATGTTCACTTTTTAGATCGTTTCCTCCCCCGTTGTTACTATGGAAATGTTGTCATCGAATCGATCGTTTGGCGAACCAAGCGTTCAATAGCGATCATCTACTTGCCAAGGAAAGTACGCGCGCGATGTAATAGAGGTAAACAGGATACATTCCTGTCCGGTACTCTCGTCGAAGAAGCGGCAATTCCTGTGGTATCAAGGCTAACGTAGCATACATCGGGAAGAATGCATTTTCAGATACCAAGATAAAAATAACACCTTGCGTTGCTTGTATTCCGAATTGGTCGAAATTCACAGATCCCATGAAACATAAACCGGCAATTGTCGCGACGATCTATCAAATTTGTTACATCACTGATCATTATACTACAATAGTATTAGCTTGTTGGGCATTCTTACGAAATACATCGCTTACCACTTTTTGAAGTATTCTAATTACTTGTACCGATGGATCCCTCAAAACTTGCAAGAAATCTCGGTAAACTAACCAGTATAGCCGTGAAAAATATCGTAATTCTTTTTTTCTATAGTAAGGAATAATGTACATGCGTTACATAGTGTAACAATATCAAATAACCATGATATTTTTCCAATTTCGTTCAATACTCACGTGACACATTCAGTGTGCAGATGTAACTTCGATGTTGACTAAAATAACAAAAACAAAGGCAAGAAAATGCATGAATATATCTGTCAGCAATACCAATCGTTAACATTGTACGGGAGAAGGGTGCAAAATGGTAGTAGCAGTAATAGTAATAGTAGAAGAAAAGGACACAAAAAATAGTTGCTTACGTTCAAAGAGTGTCTCGTTTGAAGCTGCTTCTCAAAAATGCGGTCAATTTCTTTGGAAGCTTCACTATTTAAAAACGCGTCGCATAGTTTTTGTGCTATTTCTTCGTCATTCTCACTCTTCGAACCCGTAGCCACAATCGTTATCAAAAAATCAGCAGGATTGTAGTTCCACGGACACTCGTAACCCTGACTGAAGAGTGGATGGTCAATTGAAATTCAAAAAAGTGACACTGTGTTAAAGACTTGTACCTTGCAAAAAATTCAACCGCCTGATCGATTAGACCTGCAAACGCAACCCGACCTTCGGCAATCAAAATTATTTGGTTGAAAGAATTGAATATAGTGGAACTCGGTTGATGTATGGTACATAATACGGTACGTCCTTTCGCTGCAAAAGATTTCAATTGGAAAACCAGACAGTTCGCCGAATGAGAATCCTGTCCAGTTGTTGGTTCGTCAAGGAATAATATTTTCGGATCTGTTAATAACTGGAGAAAATCCATGAAAACATCGAATATTGATGATGCGGATGATGTAGCAGCGATGATTGATAGAACAACAACGTAGGAGAGAGGGATGAAGAGAGGGGAGCGGTAAGATGTAGGTACAGTAGAAAGGAAGCAAAAGAAGGCGAGCATGTGAAAAACATGATTTTTTCATACTTCTGTAGCAAAGGCCAACCTCTTCTTTTCACCGTCGGACAATACTTTATCATCGATGCCACTACCAATTCGGACATTGCGTCTACTCATTAGACCAACATCTTTCAATAAACGATCAATTTTTTTTCCAACATCCAACATCTGTATCCTTCCGTCGAATTTCATTCGAGCCTGTAACGATAAATGAAATACACGGGGGAGAGGGGGGAGGGGGGTACAAGACTTGAAGAAAATGCGATCGAAATACAAACGAGAGAATGTATGCGCATGTTGGAATGAATTGTATACCATAAACCAAAGATGTTCGATCACCGTCATTGTTTCAATGAACATATCTTCCTGATGCATGTAACCGCTGTTTCGCATCATGTAGGAAGAATCAACTGGCAGCCCGTTTGCTCGTATATCACCATGGATTAAAAATTCGGCTGCAAAAAGTAGAAAAGCAAAGTTGAACGATGGTGTGTAGATTAAGAAGATTGTAAAATATATGCATCTTACGCCCGGTACGGAAAGCCAGAGCTGCCATCAATGAACTTTTGCCAGCTCCACTAAATTAAAAAAGGCGAAAATTAGGAAGATTTTGTTTCACGTTTTAATTCGAATTGCTATAAGCACCGTCTAACTACCTTGCACCAATTATTGCTGTCAGGTCGCCGGATTTTGCTGCACCCCGCACTAGAATCGAACAAAATTCTTCGATATCTTTGTTTTCCAATGCATGCCACTATTTTCAATGTACGACAAGATGACATTTTCACAAGCGCCACATTACATACCATTATCGATCAGTTGTTTGGACACATTTCTTCGTCCACGATCCATCACGTATACCGATAGATCTTTCCATGAAATGGTCACGCCTCTCGATTGAATTGCTTCTTCTTCTTGTTCATCATTCATCAGGTTGCCGTCATTTTTATGAAAGCACTGATTTTCTTCTAAAATGTACATTGTAATCGAGCAGAAAAGCTTTGTCTTTTAATTACTTTTGTGGGTAGTTTTTCTTTTTATTTATTTCTTTCTTCCCTTAACTGCACCCCCTCGTTGCACTATCCTATAATATTTTCAAATTATCGAAAATCAAACGAAAAAGTACGATCGATCGATCAACCGACCGACCGACCGACCATTCAACCAACCAACCGGTAGAACCGAGTCGCAACGCAAACGCGGGATTGTCACTGAATCTACTGCTACGCGATAGCCGTTGAGCTGCTGCCATCTGACTCGTACTCATACATGCCGTGCTTCCCTGTGTACTTTATATCAGATATACCAGTTTCATCATTCGACCACGATAAAGGTACAATCCAAGTTTTTTATTCTCACAATCCGAGTATCTTAATCAGGGAGAAAGAACGATCACGCGATCATTGGAAAGAAATTACTATTCGAGGATAACCATTTGAAGATGAATAGAACGTAAAAAATCGTAATAAAGTATCTGCAGAAATGAAGCAATAGAAAAGATGTAGAAGTGATATTCCATCTAGGTAAAAATTGTCTACTGTCTCTATATTGGCAACTGGTAGGTAAATGCAGAATGAACCGAGACTCGGAGGCGAGAAAGGAAGTCAGATTAGAGGTATTACGGTAATCGAAGACGGAAACCTTATACGCGTCTCATACAAGGATTTATGTCGTAGGAATTCCTTGTCTATGTATTGCATTTTTACCCTTCCACGTGCTTGTGTGTATACTCTCATACCGATATCCGTGACAAAAGTGTCACTTCGTCGCGTTTGTGAAAAGAGCGAAAAATACAATATAATAAATGAAAGAGACTAATAGTTGTAATTTCGAGCATTTTCCTAGAAAGCATACGTACATACGTTCCATCTGTATTATCAAGTAAACGTAGATATCTCTCTCTCTCTCTCTCTTTATGTTTTATTACTATTCCTTTTCTCTACATGTACACGCTCGCACGGTATGAATAACAACCGGTTTGTTAGCGATACCAGAGGGAATCCCTGGTTGCAAAGGTGGTGGTGAACGACGGTGTGCCTGTTTCTTGCCATCTGTCCCCTTTCCTATTTCCCCTCGCCACATATGCCCGACCTTCTCCTACCCATGTTCCCGTCCCGTCATTTCTTTCCTGTTTCTTTGCGGTAAGTGCGAACGACTGGAAACAACAGAAGTAGCACGAATAACGAAGGCAAAAAAAGCCTGATCGTGTTTTCTCTACAACGATGGTATCACTTCTCTGTCGAATGCATAATCGGGAGCATACCACAACTACGCTGTGCCGCGATGCTTTTTTCACTTCTCATTGACTTTTTTGGAAGAACGCGACCAAGTAATAGGGATTTCTACGCATGGCGAGTGTTTCCGTAAGCTATGACCCTCTTCAAGGAAAATCGTAATTGTCCGAGTAAATACGTTTAATTATTTTGTTTAGGTAGTACAAATTACAATAGTAAGTCGTCGATAATGTATCGTATATACCACGTACATAGAAGTAAGAAAAGTGTATAAAGTAAAGAATGAAAGAAGAAGAAGGAAATTTCATCAAATGGCCATTAAAAATGAACATTCAACAATCGGTTGCACTGATTGTGCGCAATCCTTCACTCCAATATATGAAGTAATAGCCACGCGATGCTCAGCATTTTATTTCTTTTCCTTCCTTCTACCTTTGCTTTGAATTGCGCTGCGTCTTTGATAGCAAGGCGAGAAATGCCAAGAAACGAAATGTAACGATTAAGGAGAAAAGACAGGCGATATCCGTCGAGAAATGTTCCTAAAACCAAAAACATAGTCATAGGTACATGATATGTAATTGAAAGAAATATGACTTCAGTTAGAACATACTGGAATTAGATGGGTAAATCGCGAACCTGCTTAAAATTGAACGTTTGTAAAACCATTCGTCCAGTTTTTGGGCAAGTTGCATTGCTTCTTGTACACGCGATAGATTCCACATCCGACCATTGATTGATAAGAAGAGCTTCGTTACCGTAACGGAACCAAGACAAATAAGAGAACCATTCGAAGTAGAATGGAACAGACCTGTGGAACATTATTCATAAGCTGTACACGTACATTTGTAAGTAAGTTGTTCGGCTATGTTTTATCATTTTAAACATGAATTGTTACGCTGTGTTTAAAAAAAATCCACCGAACAATAGAAACGGTATTATCACCGGTGGTCCTATGGACAACGCCATGGACAAGTTGTTGCTAACGCAGGATATCAAATAACCTGAAAATAAAACAAAACATTAATGATTTGAAAGTAATACGTTATGTAAACAAACGTGAATAACGTAACACACAACATGGTAACGTACCAAAAGATGTTGACACATTTGCTACAAGAGCGACGACACCAGCGGTAATGAAAAAATGATCGATTCCCGGATACAATCCAATCATGGGATAAGCGACGACAGTGAAGAGTAGTGGTACAGCTATAAAGATGGGTGCTTCTGCCAGCGTTTTACAAAGAAAATACACATCGGTACGATACATACCGTTTCGATGTTCCCGTAGAAATATTGGCAACTCTGCACAGAAAACCTACATACGCACACGCAGGCACGCATGCACAGCACGAATGAACACAGACAAAAGAACAGCATAGCTGCGCACCACGTGTTTTTTTGTACATAAGAAAATTGAATATATGTATTGCACATAAGAAGATATCAGTCTTACGTTGATCACGGCAAAAACATTCTGGAAAGTCATGTTGGTGAGAAATATAAATAAAGCACCGTTAATATTCATTACTCCGTCTTGATCCAATCGTTGGCCAAAGTACACGACACCGATCAATAGAGACACCATCTAGAGGAAAAAGGAAAACGGCTGAGTCTTTATATAAAAATTTGATAAAAAAGAAATTTCTTCTTGTTATTAGAAAAATGTAAGTGTTAATGCAATATAAAGAACGAATAGGAACTGTTTCTGGAACGAGAAACCTACGATAGTCTGTAACAAGCGAACTTTAATGAGGATCGGTTCCTTGATCACCGATAGCCAAGATCGCCAGAGAACCGCGCGGAATTGCTCGCACCAAGTTGCTTTGTACGGCGATCGATTACTCTCCGAATATTTTGAATTTCGCAAAGAATCTTCAAATTCGCCATTTATCGCTTCTGCCTCCAATGCAATTTTCATTCCAAGTTCGCTCTTCTGAAAGGTATCACATACCGTTTTTATCGCGTGACGGCAGGATATCTCTTGTCCTGGCACAACTGCCAACATTTGAACAAAGTAATCCGCCGGATTATAATTACTGGGACACGCAGCGCCAAGTCTGAAAATATCGCATTTTGTTCAGCGGCTATATTCTTCTTAACGAAGAAACGTTAAAAGAAACTACATATTACTCACGTGTCGAAAAACGCACAAGCTTGCGACGTGGTACCCATAAAGGCCACCCTTCCCTCGGCCATTAATAAAATTCTATCGAAAAGGGCAAATAGTTCCGACGAGGGTTGATGCAACGTAGCGATGATAGTTTTTCCACGAGCTACGACATATCATTATCAACAAAACTCTACGATATCACTACACACTACCTCCTCTTCTATGTACATGTATTAGGGGTAGAAATAAGTTCTTTCCGACGAATTTCAGTTGATTGCATATGGTGGGACACGAAGGGAATCCTGTATTATGAATTCCTTAATCCGGAAGAAACAGTGACTGCAGACCGCAATCAACAGCAATTCTTGAATTTAAATGACGTCATCAATAGAAAAAGGCGATTATCTATTCAACGCAAACGCAAGTTGATACTGCTCCACGACACGCCCGCCCGCATACGGCTGCAGGGGCAAGAGGTGATTTTCTCAATGGATTGGGAACTTTCACCACATGTGGATTACTCCCCTGGCATGTCATCTTCGGATTATCACCTTTTCCGATCGCTGCAACATCACTTAGCAGACATATAATTTAAAACTCTTGAAGACGTTCGAAAATGCCTAGACAAATACATTGCGTCAAAGCCACCGAGTTTTTATCGCGACAAGATTCGCACCTTACCAGAAAAGTGGCGAAAGGTCATAGAAAACAACGGCGAATATTTCAACGATTAACTTTTTATATCTATTTTTAAATAAAATTTTTACTTTACTAAAAAATCGAAAAGAACTTATTTCGACACCTAATATATACAACTACGCACATATGTATATCGCGTCAACTAAATTACCGGCTAAATCTTTCAGAACGGAAACCACCTGATGTGCCATGAAGGAATCGAGACCCGATGTAGGTTCGTCGCAGATCATCAACGGTGGATCGGTAAGAACTTCCGATGCGAATGATAGTCTTTTCATTTCACCCCCAGAGAGTCCTTTAATTCTTCCTGGTTGACCGATCACCGTGTTTCTACACTTGGTTAGGGCAAGCTGAAAGAGAAAACCGAATTACGCACAGACTAATTTTCTCTTTTATTTATTTCTTTTCCTCTCCTTCCCTTTTCTGTACCTCATTAATTACACGATTTACTCGATCGATTCTCTGTTCCATTGGTATTCCTCGATCCATGCGTACCATGGCTTGAAATAGAAGATGTTCTGTAACGGTCAAAGTGCCGACGAATAAATCATCTTGTTGCACGTACGCCGTTCTAGATGTCAATATCGTCGAAGATACTCTTCGTCCGTTGGCGGCCATTGCACCGGACACAGTTACCCCACGACCCGAGCGAAACGTCAGAGCGTTTAGTAACGTTGTTTTACCAGCACCCGATGATCCCATAATTACCAACAATTCACCTGGATAAGCTACACCGCATACTGTAACAAAATTTCAAGCTAATATCGATGTTGTCGCGATGTCATCGCGATACATCTCTCGCGGCTCTGATTCGTTTCACACTTTGTGCCCGCGTACCGTCCTTCAATAGATGTCTTCGTTCAATTGGTTTCTTTCCCATTAGAAAAACTTTCCATGGTTTTTCATTTCTCTTAGCGACATACACGTTCAAATCGCTCCATGTGTACGTAATTGATTCGTTTTCAGTGTTTCCTCCAATGGAACCCGTGTGCGCATGCGTAGGTACTACCACAGTTGCGGTTATTAACGGCGTTAACACTGTACTCGAGGAACCCGAAATCCGTTTCAATTTGAACAACGACGACGTCGACGTTGATGTTTCAGGATCCATTCTACATGATGTTGTGTCTCTTCCACTTCTTCCCTATGATCAAACAGTTAAAAGAAAACATATAACAGAAGAATACATCGTATGGTCGATCGGTTTACGTGTATACAAACATGTATAGAATTTAGAGAAGAGGAAGAATTTGACGCGCGCAAAGAAAATGCAAAATAACATGGAAATTCTTTCTTTACCAATTGAACATATCGAAGAATAGTATAATACATATAGCATATGCTTGTACTTAGATACAACTGTGCATAAAATTCTTAAGAAAATTTTCTAATTACCATTGTTCAATGTCGCTTACCGGTGTTGTGATCGCATCGTACGAGACACTTTCTGGTTTATTTCCGCAGCTGCTTACAGCAGTACGCGACGAAATTAGCGGTTCGGTCTCTTCTGTAGCAGTCATTTTCTCTTTCTCTATCGCCGAATCGATGAATTCCCAATGAAATTCTTCATCTACGTCCGTCTGTTTATTATATCTTTGAATGGTCGCTGAGAATCACTCGCGGCAGCGGCGGCAACGAACAGTATCGATGTACGAACAAAATCTTGATCAACGCGCCTCGCGAGACATCCTTTCAGCGTCTGTCAATGTCGCATATATCTCACCGTTGGAATATTCTCATGATGAAACCGGTTTCGATCCACGACGATCTCGATGTCCGCAATCTATGATTCTTTGTTTAGCATGCGGAGATAAAATGTAACACGCGATAATTCCGTGTAATTCTTTCCTCTACGAGTTGCGCACTCACGCGTACAGGTGAGCGCACGCGCGCGCGCCCGCGCAACCGCGAAACCTCCTTTTTCGAAAAGACTCGAAAGAAACTTGTTCGTTTTCACGTATAATGCTTCTTTTAATTAACGACCGTAGCAGTAGAGTAGAAAATAATCACGGATTTCGGAAACAGATGCGATATATTCGATGCGTTCAACACATGCTACGTAACGAGGTAGAGGTTCGGTGCGTGATAGCCGCAAACCAAGTACGTAACATTCTCGGATTGCCAGTCTCCCACCTTCTGTCACCGTTCCGTGTTCCTCCGCTTCGTGTCAACTTATGTAACGCGACTCCACTGATCCACGAGCTTACCGACAACCAACCGACCGACCAATAACGAAGTAAAAGAATCCACGCGACGGCCTTGCGCGCGCGTAATCACCTTCGGTACAATAATCATTTTCCTCCATCCCCTTCGTTTCGTTATAAAACTCGTCGCTTTTTCTTTCCTTCCATCATGCCTTTTTTCACCTTCCTTTCTCCTTCTTTTCACTGGTCACTCACCAATTAACAATTTGTCCCCAACTTACCTTACTTTCATTGAACATGTGCACAAGCCAAAAAAAAGAGTTCCTTGTTTTCTTCTCCAATTATTCTGATTTCATATTTATTTCAAAGGAGAATCTGGATTTCAAAAATGTGCGTGTATGTGTGTTTTTTCTGTAAGGGTGGTGTCGTTGACAATATGAATAAAACGGATGAAGAATAACTTCGTTTATTATAATCGGTACAATAGTATTTCAGGATTCTGTGATTTTTGAGGGTTATTCCGAGGTGTTTTCCTCCCAACCGTTCGAACGCTCCTTATTCCAATTCGAAAAGTTGGAAGTGTACTAGTAAAAGGACATAGCCATGAGATACTGCGAGAATCTAGTGCGACGAGCGGGATATCGCGAAACATTTCTAACATCCGCGTATCTTCTTTCTGTCTGAGACTCCGCGTTCGCAATGTCAACCAATGATATGTACTATATACGTATTTCGCTTCTATTTTTCATCCACCTGTTAAAAGTGACAGAGAGGCAAGGGGGAAGGTGAGGTGGTGCACGAATGAATAAACAATTGTTCGCTCGCTCGCTCGCTCGCTACCTAATTCGCTTACCCGCTCGCTCGCGCGCATGCGCACACACACGCACCTGAGTGATTGCGTGCTGCTTGTCTGGAAGAGAGGACGATAGGACAGAGAGGAGAGGTTATTGGTGTGCACGCATGCGCGTACACGTGTTACGCTGTCGTACACACAACGCAGCAGCAACGAGCACAATAGTTGTTGGTAATCAACAATGATACATCATTCTCCTTTCCGCATGCATTTTCCGACGAAACTCTCCTTCAATCAATTCCAGTTTTGCGCGTTTCAATGTAACAACGATGCCCCCACCTACCCCACATACGTGGGAATTCGTTCATCACCCATTCTATTCCCATTCTAGCCTTATCTGTGTGTGTGCTCGCCTATATAAATCTGTTCTGCCTTCGCATTCCTTTCGTACGTTTGATCAGACCATACCTACTATTCATGTTGTTTTATTGTTTTTCGACATATTGTGAGAAGCCCAATTCAACGAAGTTTTCCACGAATTACAAAGAGCTTCATCAAATTTACTCCTGAAATGCTTTTGTGCCTCGCTTTCAGACATCTCCAGTACCTACATAAGTTCAACAGATGCAATCAATGTACAATGTTTTTCTGAATCTGAAAAGCCGGTAGAAGCTTTCTACGAATGCTCGAGAAAAGGAATAATGAACATACCAAGGTGTCTCTTAAATAGTTGAGATCTTTTTCCGATGACAATTCAGGTAATCCCGTTGATATCATCATAGCGAACAAAGATAATATTAGACCTCCGTGTTGTCGTAGAACGAGAAACGCTTGTTCGCAATGACTCTGAAATCGTTGGAATTCAACCGCTTGACCTTTCTTCGTTTGTCCTTTGTTTATTACATGGACAAAATCATTGGTCAACACGAACGGCACGCGTTCACGTCTGAATCCAAATTTTTCCTTAAAATGACCAAGTATGTGACCAAAATCAACGTGAAATAGCTGACCGGTTTTCTTAACCATAATATTATCCGAATGTCTATCAGCAATTCCGAGAACGTATGTAGCCACGCAGTAACCCGCGCAACTTAACGTGAATTCCTCGATAGCTCTGTTTAACGCTGCCTCCGTATGATTATGATCTTTCAGCCAAGCCAGCAAAGAACCGCGTCTACACATACAAACCACCCCGCCCCCAAATGGTGGATAAGAAACCAAGAAAATGTATAAAAAGGAAAGAAAATGCAAAATGCAAATTAAACACATACCTGAAAGCAGCTGTTGCTGAAAATGTGCCTTTTTCTTTCTGTATATTTGCTATAGTTTCCGCGTTTAGAACCACTTCGATCATACCGACTCGATTCTCCGTCGATATGCAACCGTAAGGATTCATACGTAAATCCAGACCTTCCCTCTTCCACAGTTTATCCATGATTCGTAGCATCTGTAGCGTCAGCATGTCTTGCCTCAAATCATCTCCGTGTTTCAGTATTAAGTAAATATCATCACCGAAGGTATCAGCATTTTCGAAAACGAGCCAAAGCGGTCGCATTTTACTGTCCATTACTCTACATTTCTCGATTCTGTAAATCCCCGATCCCATCCCCACCCGACCCGTTCTTTATTATTACTGTTCGATAAACAAATTTTCAACAAATTTTCCATTTTATACTTAACACTTAAAGCGCCGAATCCGTTTTTAATAGAGCGCCGGGCCCGCCTAAATGCGTATTCATGTTTGTGCAAAAAATATATATATATCTCTTGAACCGCACGTGGTGCACTATCATTGAATATTCATTTAGTTATTTAATTATTTTATTTTATTTGTAAAAATGTATATTTCTATAAAACTCATAAATACTGCGGTACTTTAGGTAAAGTCTCCAACAAAATAGCTGGCGCTTTAAGTGTTAAGAAAACAAGTGTCTCTTTATGCACACAACACACTCACTTAATGCGTTTCCATCGAAAGCTCGGATCCAACGGATTTAAAACGTTCGATAACGCTTCTTGGCAGTGCGGCTCTTGGATAAATTCTTGAAAACCTTGCAATGCAGCTTTACGATCTTTTCGCTGTTTTATTTGTTCGGAAGCACATTTTAGTTTACCCAAGCATTCCATTTGTTTAAATAAGGACCGCATGTGTTGCTGGCTTCCCCTACAATACGCTTCTAATATCAAGCCGAAGCGAACCGACACAGCACCCACTTGCATTTCTGATCTGCCAACAAAACCATCCTAGTGAAAGATAACGGGGAAACATAACGAGAAAAGATAAGGTGGTTGGTTAGCTTTCGTTTATCCTCGCCCAAACAGATATACCAAATGGATGCAAATAAAAACAAACGTGACAAATACACACAAACCTCAAATGCCAAAACAAAAAGTGACCGATTCTTCGATTGTTCAGAGCACGCCTCAATAGGAACTCCGTCAAATCGCAGGATAAATAATTTTCGTGCTTCAATGCTTGTACCAACTGCAATAGATAAAGGCTCAAATCTTCATCGCTGACGTCCATTAAACAACGCACGGCAAAACTTCGAACGTTTTGATCGGCGTAAGCATAATCCAACAATTCAAGTGCCTTTTCGACGGGTAATTTCGGCCACTGTTGCACCAGCGCTGTAGCTTCAGCTACTTCCCTGTATACGTCGAGAATCGGAAAGTAGATTTAAACGTTCTCTTTTTCTATGAAAATGGACGACGTTAAAATAACTCCTATCATTTGGTATTTCGAGTATTTAGATTATCACCTATGATCATTCCATTCCACGCAGTGCAACAATTTCGCCAAAAGCGTAGGAATCTCGAGAAGACAGTGATGCCTTAACGTCCACATTATCTTTCGTTCTTGCTCGTGAAGCTCGTGCAAAGGATCTCTGTCCGCTAATAATCGAAGCTGCTCAAGTTGCTGAAGCTTACTAACATCAGATTCTTGCTCGGGCTCTTCTTGAATCGAACGTTCGGCGGAGGATTCCCGCAATTTCCTCGCGTGCTCCACCATTTTCTCCGGCGTTGGATAAAGAACAGACTTATCTTTCCCATAACTATCACGAAAATAGAAATGATAAATGTTACAACGTGGTACATTCCTCACAACGACGGTATATCCATGTATACGTAAACGATGGGGGGGGGAACTTACTTGGGAAACGTCAACATTAAAGCAGCCGCTCCGTCATTGTGAGGATTTGACACCACCGTGCCAAGAGGATGCAGCAAATCGTCATTTTGCATATCCTCGGCATAAGTCCATGTATAAAGAGTCATCGCTCCTGTTTTTAATTGAGACTTAAAGTCGTATATGGTTGTATTGGCCCAGCATAACGGATTTATAAAAAACTCCTGTTTAGTATCTTTAACTAATCTACGACTCTTTAGTCCTTTCGCAGTCTTACTAATTTCGTATAGAACAAAACACAGCCTGGCCATTCGCGGTATATCCCGCACTTTTATATCGAATCTTAAAGTTTCTTCCCATTCACAACTACCATCAGAACTAACAACCGTTTCCTTCGTCTTTTGACTTTCACACAGAGACTTTCCACCGTGAAAAAGACCAGCTTGAAGACCAATCTGCACAAAAGGGGAGTGCAACAGGATTTAAGTAATTAAGTGAATTTTCGAGAAATTAGATGAGAAAACTAGAAACGAGCGTAATAACTTATTATAACTAGACGAAGCAACAACACGCTGATACCTCGACGGTGCGATGGGCGGCATCGCAGTTTAATCGTGATATCCCATTCACAGTAAAAACGAACGGTTCCTCTATTTTCCAAGCGGATATATGTTTACCCTTTTTGCGTAGAGTAAGCGTGGAAAAGGAAGGTCTTGTACGCTGCAAAGCGTCTGCTTCTGCGTTCTCTATGGTGTTCTCCTGATCGACAGAGACGCTATCTCTGCTTAATGTGACCAACGTTGGAATAATGTCTTTCGCTAGACAATCTTGAATATAGCTAAATTGTATTAAAGGATAATCCCCTATCAGATATTCTTCTTGTCCGCAAACCTTCAGGGTAAAGTCGTTTGGGTGTCCTCTCGACATTAAAGTGTTTGCTCGTTTATTTAAAATAGATACTAGTAATTGATATGGCGTTGTAGTGTGTGACATTTGGAACGTAAAAGCTGTCTGAAAATCAAATTCTACAATTATCCTTTTTAAAAAACACGCCTCTATTTATGTACTATTATGTATTTAAACACCAGCGGGTTCTGTATGAAAAAGTTATTAACAAATTGATGAGATCAAATGAAGTTAGAACAAATTTTTCTGATCAAAATGAGACCAAAAACGATATAATTTGAACAACATTTACTTATTAATACTTATTGAGTGATTAATTTCATTTCATAATGCATATGTACATATATCGCTTTGGATGAATTACAAAAACGGAGTGCTAGAAAAATACATGAAATATCTGTACACATTACCCGTCCAATGTAAGTTGTGCCTTCACATTTTTCGTAGAATGCATAAGCTGTGCCTGGAAAATTTGGAGGCACAGCTTACATTCGATGGGCAATATGAAGGCACGGCCACTTGACAGCGACAATGTGAAGGAAGGGACTAGGTTTTACCGACACTGTGAATGAGGGGGGGCTAGACTTCGCGGACAATGTGGAGGCATGAGTTTTACAGAAGATGAATGGGGGGAGGAGGCTAGGTTTCGTGGACAATGTGGAGAGACAGGTTGTACGGATAACGTTTTCCGGCATCACGTTTTTGTAATTTTTCAGAAGTTTGTCGTGGAGACATATTTTGATAAAAATTATATATTTCAGCTAAGCAAAATTTTTGAAAATGTTTTAAAAATTTTTTCAATGATTCTTCTTATTTTTCACAACTTTTCTATTATGTATTTTTGAACAAAATAACTTTTTAATTCCTTATTAAAACGTTTCTTACAAACGATATTTAGTGCATTGAAATGGCATATTTAGCTGATATCTTCAATTATTTAAATAACGTGAATACTGGTATGCAAGGTAAAAACGAAAATATTCTAACATTCACTGACAAACTGTCAGCATTTAAAAAAAAATATCACTTTGGAGAACGCGCATAATTCAAAAAAGGAGAGTAGACATGTTTCCTTCAGTCCAAAATAATAATATCGGTGAAATAATTCCTATTATAACACAACATTTAGCATTATTAGAAGAAAAAATTACGAAATACTTTCCCGCATTAAATATCGAAAATTATGATTGGATACGAAATCCATTTTCTGCGGTCAACACATCAAGTTATGAGTTTTCGTTACAAGAAAAGGAAAAATTCATTACGTTGTCAATGGATCGTACTCTCAAAATGAAATTTTCCGAAATAACAGTTGAAGAATTTTGGATTTCTGTTGAAACCGAGTTTAAAACTATTTCTAAAAAAGCGATTAAAATTTTATTACAATTTTCAACGTCGTACTTATGCGAGCTTGGTTTTTCAACATTAACGAATATTAAGACAAAGAAACGTGAAAGGCTGACAAATATAGAAGAGGAAATGAGAGTAGCTATTTCACACATAAGACCAGATATTGAAAACATTTGTAAAAGTCATAACCGGGTACCCGGGTGCCCATTTCTATATTTTTTTCAGAAATTTTTAATGTTCTTGACAAAATATCGCAAAATGGTTCCAGATCCCCGTTCTTTGGACACTTTTATATCGATTAACGTTTCGTGAAAAAAATTGATATAAAATATTTTAATTTTATATTCTGATACATGAGATATGCAGCGATAATTTTACTGTCATTCTTGTCCGATGCTCTTAATTTTTCCTTCCTATAATATACCAAATACTGTTATAAAAGATTTGAACGAAAAATTATTAGTAACTACAATATAATTCCATGATAAAGTCAATAGTCCCTGTCATTCGTATGCATGCATGTTCATCTTGACTCTCTACTTGCTCATCTTGCTCGTTAACAATTTATTCTAAATTCTTTAGCAATTAGCTACTTATTTGGATACCATGAAAATATTACACTTCGTTTGTGTTGAAAAAGGAAAAAGCCGTCATACTATTGTCAACAATGCATACTTGTAATGCTGTCTCTGGACCAAAAAGAAAACCTTAAATTGTTCAATTTTATAATCAAACAAAATCTGACGTTGACATAATGGATCAAATGTTAGGAAGATATACAAAAAGACGAACTACCAGATGGCCACTAGCACTTTTTTACAACATATTAGATATTGCCGCTCTTTCCTCCTACCTTATATATGTATGTATCATTCAAATAATAGCATGTTGCATAAAAAGACAAATGATCGTCGTATATTTTTACGCCAATTAAGAGAAGAACTTTGTATTTCAACTATTCAAAATCGAGCTTCAAATATCCAACACTTATGCGACACTTTTCAACTAAATTAGCAATAGACAGTATACTATTTACATCACGCCCAATAAACAGTCCTTTTACTAGTTTTGTACAATCGACGTTGTTCTCGTTAGATGCAAGTAGAAGAAAAAGAGTTGTAGGATCATGTCACATGTGTCAGGCAGATCCTGCTAAAAAACACAGGAAAACAAGAAAAAGCTGTCAGAAATGTTTACTACCAGTTTGCGATGAACATGCAAACACAATTACAATCTGTAAAAATTATCCTACAGTAAGTTAATCATTATAATTTAAATTTTTTATTTTAATGAATAAGTAGCATTAACAATTTTGTATTCTGTATAATTTCTTCCCAAAATTTCCATTCATAATTCGTCTAATTATAATTTCTCCTATATGGATACCCTGGTACCCCAATTGTCCAACAACGGTGAATATTTTGGTTGGCTACACAAGGGTTAAGAACCACTGGCCTAGGTGTAGGAGTAACTAGGCGACAATGTGAGGGAAGCTCTAGCAGCGACAATGTGAGAAACATTACTGTATACAAAAGAACAGCAGAGAGAAACG